GGGGGGGCAGGATGGGACATTGAAGAAATGTGAGGCTCAGAGGAGCAATGGCGTTTTCTGAAGCACCTAAGTCGGCCCTGGTGAAACCGAGATACAAATGTTTGTGCGGCACTGACGTCCCATGCTGAGTGCCACATGTGGTGAGTCCGGCTGCCAGGCCCCTGCCCTTCCAACACACTCCTTGGTGCCAGCAGGCACTGGATCCGACCCAGGTCGCCCCTCCCCTCAGTGGTGGGAAGCTGTTTCCTGAGAATGAGCTAGTGTGGTTATGAACAGAAGCTATGTGCTCAGCACCAAATACGAGAGAGAGAGAGAGAGAGAGCGGGGGGGGGGGCCCGGCTTGATTGTAGGATACAGTACTAGAAATAGGGTGGTCCAGGAAGCGCGGGCTTTCGGGGACAGTGCCCAGGCCCCGGGTTCAATCAGCGTGGAGGAGGTAGCATTTCCGAGCCCACAGAACAGCCCTTTGCAGGGATCCGGGCTTCTGGAAGCATCTTCCCGGCCAGATGCGCTGGGCCATTTGCAGGTGGCAGGTCAATTTGTCTCCCAGCACCTCCGGCTGGGCCCCTTCAGCCTTCCTCGCTCACATTCCCCCTCCCCTCCCCTCCGCTGCCCTCCCCTCCCCTCCGCTGCCCTCCCCTCCCCTCCGCTGCCCTCCCCTCTCCTCCGCTGCCCTCCCCTCTGCTCCCCTCCCCTCCCCTGAGCCGGGCCGGCGCTGGCCCTGGCTTGGGGACCAGGCTCTGCTGCCTGTTTACTTTAGGATAACACAAGCAAAGAGTCTCCAGGATGGCCTCTCGCCTGGCCGTCCAGTGGGCGCTGGAGGCCCAGGGGGGCTTTTCCTGGGCCCCAAGGTGAGCGTTCCCCAAAGACACTCTCCAGATGGCCGCTGGGGTGTGGGGTCCGGCAGAGCGCGTGCTGGCCGGGGTCCGAGGGAAGGCGGGCGGCTCCTGGCGGGGTGGTGTGTCTGGGTGAAATGGTTCATTTTTTGTGTGTGTTTTGTGTCGGTCGTGGGGCCTGAACTCAGGGCCTGGGCGCCGTCCCTCCGCTCTTCAGCTCAAGGCTGAAGCCACGGCGCCACTTGCTTGGTTTTCTGGTGGTTCACCAGAGATCAGAGTCTCGCGAACTTTCCTGCTCGGGCTGGCTCTGAACCGCGATCCTCAGCTCTCAGCCTCCTGAGTAGCCGGGGTGACAGGCGTGAGCCCCCGGCGCCCCGCACGTACCTGCGTTGGAGAAGATGGCCGTCGGTTTCGCTCCCTCCGGCTCTGACGGCCGCGTGCAGCTGAGGGAGGCCGGGGAGGGGCGCCGGTGGTGTGGAGTCTCTCACATCCGGGCGGCCGGTGGGAGTCTCAGGAAGATGACTGAGGTCGGAGCTGCGAGTGGAACATGCGGTGTGAAGCGGGAACTCTGCGTGGGCCCCGTCCCCATGTTCCTCCCTCTCTGTACTGGATGCCATTTCTGTCTTCCACCCTCCACCGCGCTGGGCACCCCACGCCCCGGGGCCTGGGTGGCCCTGGCCGCTGGATGCCCAGTCCCCCTCTCCCCTCCATCCCGCTGGGCCTGGGTTTGGCCACTTCACGTGGGCCCGGCCTCCGTGCGCGGAGCCTCCCTCTGCTGGGCCTCCCTCTGCAGAGACCCCATGACCCTCGGAGGGGCGTCCACGTGTGTCTGTGGGCAGCACGGGCGTAGCGATCGCTGGCCGATCACGGCCGCCGCTGGGCGCGGCGTGGGCTCACCAGCGGGGCGAGCGGGAGGCGGACGCGGCCAGAACGTGACCCTCCTGGAGCGGCTGCTCCATCTTTCTTCGGGCCTGGAGGATTCGTAAAGCCTCGGCCCCTGCTTCTGTCCGAGGCCGAGCTACTGTTCACGGGGAGGAAACATCTAAGCAAACCACAGGAGACGCCAAGAGCTTCTCCAGCCCACCAGCTGCGTTGCTTTTCCGGTGGTTCGGTGAGGTTCCGACCCCCGTCAGAAGGGGGCATGGGGGGGTGCGGGGGGGGGACCCCGGCTTCGCCACTCCCCGCCGCAGAGTTGCAGACGCCGACCTTTGCACAATCCTCACGTCTTATTGTTCCGCCAGCCCTGCGTGTGTGATCCTTTGGGGAGGAGTTGAAGGCAAGCGGACGGACGGACAGACAGACGGCCGGGAGGAGGAGGGAGGAGAAGCAGAGCGCAGCCAGGCGGGGGCCGCGGCGGGAGGGAGGGCGCCCGTGGCTGCGGGCACCTGGACCCGGGACTGGACAGGACGCCGAGCAAGAGCGCAGCGCGGTTCCGTGGTCTCCCACGGCCAAACCCACGGGCCTGGTGCTTGGATACCAACTCCAGGCGGGCCCTGGAAGCCTTACTGACACAACGCCACATTTCCAGCTCATTCCCCGGCCCGTGCCCACCCCGGGGTGCCGGCCCGGTTCCCCCGGGGAAGCCCGCGTTGAACGCAGCCCTCCCGTCTTCAGGCCGCGGCCTTCCCCTCCCCCAGCTAGGGGGGTCCCCAGGCCCGGGGGGGGGGCGGGGGGCTCGGCTCGGGCTCCCCTGCGGACATGTGTAAGTCTCCACCTTCTGCTTCTCCCGGTTTGATTTCCCTTCCCTGCGGAGACAGAGAGCCGAGTGTTCCGGGGCTGGAACACGGGGCTGGGGGCCTCCAACCGTGGTCCTCCTACCTCAGCCTCCGAAGGGCTGGGGTCACCGCACACGCCACCCCCACCCCGGTTGGTCTTTACTCGCCGGATGGAGAGCTGGGGGGACGTTTGCAGAAGGGGCTTGGGGGGAATGGACTGTCATTGTCACTTGGCTCGGGAGCCGGTGGCGTGGCGGCGTCGCTGCCTGAGGCTACGGGAGATTGGTTCTCACACACACCGGAGGGGAAACCGAGTCACGCCTGGGTTTTTCCCAAAGGCCGGCCAGCCATGACATCACACAGCCCCCATGGAAGGACCCAGAATACCAAACAGCAGGTCGGGTCCTGCTCAGGACGCGGGGGCCATACAATGGAGGCGAGTCTCGGCTGGATGGAAACAAAGAAGGTCCAGTTCGGGATTTCCGGTGTCGTAATTCAGCGTTGCCGACGTCACTGCCCACGTGTCCAAACCACGGAGACGTCTCTCTTTCTGGTAGATTCTTCAGACGTGGAGCATGGGCCCCGTGGAAGCCAGCTTTGGCAGTGACCTGTGTAGAGAAGGTGCATCGATCGATTCTGCCCAGAACCTCGGAGGCTGGCGGCTTGGAGGCTGGCAGCAAGGAGGCTGGCAGCTTGGAGGCTGGTAGTGAGGAGGCTGGCAGCTTGGAGGCTGGTAGTGAGGAAGCTGGCGGCTTGGAGGCTGGCAGCTTGGAGGCTGGTAGTGAGGAGGCTGGCAGCTTGGAGGCTGGCGGCTTGGAGGTTATTGAAGCCATGGTCTCGTGGCCCGGTCACTCACTGACCACATGCAGGACAGCTGTCTTTTTTTTCTTCCGGTCGTGGGGCTTGAACCCAGGGCCTGGGCACTGTCCCTCAGCTCTTCAGCTCAAGGCGAGCGCTCTACCACTTGAGCCACAGCGCCACTTCCAGTTTTCTGGTGGTTCATTAGAGATCAGAGTCTCACAGTCTTTCTTGCCCGGGCTGGCTTTGAACCGCGATCCTCAGCTCTCAGCCTCCTGAGTAGCTGGGATGACAGGCCTGAGTCACCGGCGCGCAGGTGCTTTTTTTTTATGTCACCCCCGCACCCCGATCACGAGGCTCTGCCCGCGTCCACGTCCGCTCCGTCCCGGGCAGAGCGGAGCGCCTGGGCTTCTCTACAGCGCCGGCCGCCGGTGTGATCTGCACACAGGGGGACAGGCCACATGTCTGTTCTTGCGGCTGCTCAGAGATAGCGGGAGAAGCGTGCGTCCCTCCCGCCCGGCGTATTTTTAGATGACTCGCAGATGTGCCTTGTCTTTTTTTGTTTTTTATTCCCCGGCTCACAAACTCCCAGGTTTATTCTGGGCAGCAGCGCCCGGCTGCCGGCTCCTCTCCTCTCCTGGGCGGGGCTGGGCGGCGGCTGCTTTAAGATGAGCGGGTCTCGGACTTCTCGTTCTGTGTCTCGAAGGAGCACGGGGAGGGGATGGGGCCCGCGGGGCGGGGCTGACCTGTCGTTCGGGCTGGGACGTGCAGATGCCTGGGTACCGGGAGAGGCGCCTGAGCAAATACACAAGCCCAGGATTCGAACTCAGCACCCCAAGGTGCTGGGATTATAGGCTGTGTACCACACCTCCAGGGCCGGGCGCCATGCCAGAGCCTTAGACAGGAATGGCCTTTCTCACGCAGGTTTTTCGGGGTCTGATTACTTGTCGGCTGTTCCCTGGGCAGCCCACCTGCGCCCCCCACCTGCTCCTTTGCCCCTCATTCTCTCTCCAGTGCTCAGGTGCCCAGGGCTCCTCCCCTGAATGGAAGCACTGGGTTCTGATTCTTGAATTTTTTTTTCTTTTGTCAGTTGTGGGGTCTGAACTCTGGGCCTGGGCGCTGTCCCTCAGCTCTTCAGCTCAAGGCGAGCGCTCTACCACTTGAGCCACATCGCCACTTCCGGTTTTCTGAGTGGTTTATAGGAGATAGGAGTCTCACGGACTTTCCTGCCCGGGCTGGCTTTGAACCGCGATCCTCAGACCTCAGCCTCCCGAGTAGCTAGGATGACAGGCGTGAGCCACTGGTGTCCAATTTATTCTTGCTTTTCACCCAAGCTGATGCCCGTTAATACCTGTGAGTGAAGCCAGCCCGTCTGGAAGGGGGCACCGGCTGCCCGCCCCGCCCGTCTGGCTCAGCCCCCCGCGCCTCTCCCCCTGATCCGCTTCCTGCCGCTGGCGCGAGCCCAGCACCGTGCGCTTCCTGCCCTTTTACCCCCTCGAGGACGGGAAGTTTAGAGCCGGGCCAGGCTTCCTTCCCGGTGGGCTCCGGCTTCTGACGTGGGTTCGGGGTCTGGGCTGTCGTGGCCTGTCGGAAGCGGGCGGGGCGTCAGTGATCCACCAGAGATGAACGTAAGATGCGGCTTCTTGCTGTGTGGGTCTGTCTGCTACACAAAGCCAGGAACTCCTCATCCCGGACGGGTGTGTGTGTGTGTGTGCGCGCACACACGCACGTGCGCGCTCCTGGAATGCTCTGGAAGCTGGGCTACACCGGGGTGATCAAGAAGGTCCCTGTCACTCTGGCATCAGCCCCAGTGGATCCTGGGAAAGAGTCATCCACCAGTGTTAGGGGCCCAGAGGTCAGAGGGCATCCGCTGTGGACTGACACTCCTGCCTGTGGCCCCTCCCCCCCCCCCCGCAATCAACCCCCCCCCAATTTCTTTCGAGCAGCATTTTGCTCTTCACCCCGGAGTCTTGGATACACGCACGTTCTAACTCCTCACTTTCCTACTTGAACTTGTTCCAGAAAGTCTGAAGACAACTTGGCTCAAACAATGTGTGTGTGTGTGTGTTTTATTCTCTCCGCCTAGAGCCGGTAGTCAGCTAACGAGAGGCGGCAGGGACTCGTGGGGATGGGTCTGTTCAGCCCCTTTCGCCCCCTCATTGGGCTTCTACCGTGGGGGGAAATCCAACACGCCCCCCTCCCCAAACTAAGTAAGCACAGACACCCCGGTCCTTGAACTACCTGGCAGAGCTATCCTGCTACCCGCACCCCAGAGTTTCCTAGGAAACCAATGCGGTGTAAAAATGTATTCTTTGTCTTCTGCTCTTTTGCAAAATTGTTTGAACCATCCTATCTCATAAAAGGTGGCTTCGCAGGCAACCTGAAGAGAGAGAGAGAAAAGCTTAATCTACCGCCGGCCTCTGGGAAGGAGACCGGCCTCTATCGGAGGTTAACCACGTGGGCTTGACTTTGCTGGCGTCGGGGAAATCAGATCGTGCTGTCTTTTTATTTTGTCTCCCGAAGGCTGAGCCTTTGCCCCCAGGTATACCAGACGGCATCAGGAGCAAACGCTCCCAACTACCTCCCGTGCTGGAGCCTTGGAAGCTGTAGAGGGTCTCGGGGGGTCTCACCCGACCCCCATCCCCGCAGCGTCCCGTGGAGTCTGACCGCACGGGATGGAGACACCAATGCCCGGCGCAGCGAGCCTGGGGAGGTTCTTGAATGTTCCGTGCCCACCTGTCAGGGTTCTGGCGAGGGTTCAGTGACCTGGGTGTCTGGCCCACAGTCCAGCGCCTGGCAGGTTGGACCCTCCAAGTGTGTGGGCAGCCGAGATAGCCTTGATTTCAACTCTGGGGTGTGTGGAGGGGACCCCCTTACCCGTGGTAGTCAGATAACGAGAACACCAGGTGGGAAATGATTGTTGACCTATCATTTCCTAGACTGCGCGTGGCCCATGATGTTTTGTGTTGCGTTGTGTTGTTGTTTGTTTGTTGCCAGTCCTGGGGCTTGACCTTGAGGCCTGGGCGCCGTCCCTGGGCTTCTTTGGCTCAAGGCGAGAGCGCTCTACCACGTTGGAGCCACAGCGCCACTTCCGATTTCCTGCCTAGCCTGGCTTTGAACCGCCCCCGGCGGGCAGCGTGGCCACAGGTGCTGGGCACATGCCAGGCCGGCAGCGGAGCAGAACGTGGCCGCCATGCTTTCTTCACATAGCGGGACAAGATCACCCCAACGCGGGGACGCCACCCCCGCAGATCAGACGCAGCTGACGGCCAGGCTAACCAAAGAGAAGGTTTCAGGGTCCCTCTGTCCCGAAGACACCTGAATGCCTTGGGTTTCTGGCTCCCAAGCCCGCAGATTGGGTGAGGAGGAGACGCGTTTGATCTGGCTGTGAGAGTCCCTTAATTAAAAGGAGCTGCAGATGCTTGACACCTGGTAATTTCCACCTCCAGTCGCAGCCCATCCCCGCGGGCTCACGCCGCTTAAATTACAGCGCCAGAAAGGAGGAGGACCAGCACCTAGTCCCACTCGGACGCCTGACACATCTCCTTTTCTCCCCGAGCGAGAAATGGGATCGCAGGCCCGCTCTTCACCCTGGAGACACGGGGCAAGAAACCTTTGGCTCTTAAATAAAATTAAACAGCAAGGAGCATCCAAATCACCCAACGCCTGTGTCTCCTTCAACAGTGATGTTGTCACACACACACACGCACACACACGATCCAACAGAAGGAGTGTGGCCATAGCACGTACCAGCCCTGACCCCTGGGTAAGACCTGCCTGTGGTCACCTTTGAGGGGCTGAGGGTCCCCAGTGCTGTCCTGAAGCTGGCGTTTTTTGTTTTGGTCGGTCGTGGGGTTTGAACTCTGGGCCTGGGTGCTGTCCCTCAGCTCTTCAGCTCAAGGCTAGCGCTCTACCACTTGAGCCACAGCGCCACTACTGGTTTTCTAGTGGTTTGTTGGAGATAAAAGTTTCACGGACTTTCCTGCCAGGGCTGGCTTTGAACCCTGCTCTTCAGATCTCAGCTAAGATCACAGGCGTGAACCACCAGTGCCCGGCCCCTCCTGGGTTTTTACATATTGTGTGTGCATGTGTGTGTGCATGTACATACGCGTGTGCATGTGCATGTACATACGTGTGTGCATGCGTGCAGCCTTTATTTTGGGGCCTTGGTTGTCGTGTGAGCAGCTTTCTGGGGGGAGGAGGTGGCTGCGGAAGGCTTTCCCCCGTGGACACCAGCAGGCCGGGCCCCGAAGCACAGCTGCGTTTCCAGGTCGATCCAGGCTCCCAGGAGGCCCTGGTGAGGGAATGCTGCGTGTTCTGGCGTAGGGAGGATGGTAGGCTGCCAGCCCAGAGCCCCGGGGAGCCGGGCCGGTTCCGCACGGGCGTCCTGGCTTTTGGTGCGTGTGGCCTGTGTGTTGGTGCCTCTGTGGTCCACTCCCAGCGTCAGGCTCCCCTCTGGCGTGGGCCGGGCCGCTCGCAGCCTGGCCCTGCGAGCACTCTCGGGGGAGTCTTGTATCTGAGCACGACTGGGAAGAGGGAGGCCGCTGCCAGACACTGGGAAACGGGTCCCATCCCCATCGGAGAGAACGTCCGTCCGCCCCCCTCCCGTTGGAGGCAGAACCCTGGTTTTGAACCGAGAAAACGTCCACCTTCCGCAGAGCGGGGCTGGCTTTCCCGTGACGGTCTCCGGGGTGCGCGGTGTCCCCCGTGACGGCCGCTCCCCCCCAGGCTGTCTCCTTTGATTTGCTCAGATTTCGTTTCCATTTACCCTGCCATCTGTGATGTACATGACTCCCGCTCCGGCCCTCCCCTGGGGTCCCCCTCCCTCACCCCCAGCCACCCCCCCCGCCCCAGGGGGCTGGCACAAGGCTCTAAGTGGAACACTGAAGACCCCATCTGTCTGGCAGACGCGGTCGATCGATACGCACACGGGCACCGGTTTCAGGCCCTGCCTGTGACACGGGGTCTTAAATCCCGAGGAGGCCAAATTCCCAGCGGTCCCTGGGCCCAGCCCGGACACGATGGTGCCGCTAGCGACCATACTTCCTTCCCGGCTGCTTTCTTTCCCATCGCTCTTACCCCCGTCCCTCCAGCAAAACAAACTGTGTTTCTGGATCCTTCTGAGCCCGCCCATCCGAGTCAGGGACAAAGGACAGCCTTGGGCCCCTGAGCAAGCAGACACGATTAGAAAGCTGGCTTGTCTGAGACCAGGCCTACAATCCAGACCGCACCTGTCGCCGCCTCTTCCCCAGACCAGAACAAAGCTGACGGCGGCAGAAGCTACAAGGATCAGGTTCCTTCCCGGGGATGCTTGCTCCACAATCCCGCCGTTGGAGCTTGCCTGGCTGCGTGTGTGTGTGTGTGTGTGTGGTCCTGAGGGAAGGGGAGGTGGACACTCCGAGCTGTCTGGGTCTTTCTCGCCAGCGTGGCTCTGATGC